ATTAAAAAAAAAAAAAAGAGAGAGCAGAGGTGGGAGCTCAGGCCCTATCAGTGCGGAGGGAGAAGAAACAGACAGCAGAAGAAAGTGGAGCAAGAAGGGGTTTTGAGAGGGGCTGTGTGAGGGGAGGGTTTCCTTGTACACTCAAAGGGGATGTCAGCATCTCTTCTTTCACATGGTGGAGGTTATCACGGAGTCCTGTCCTTATGGTCGGGAAGCCAGAGAGCTTGTGGGTCCTCGGAAGCTACTGTGGTGTGGGGAGAAGTGATGTATGGGAAGGCCATTTCTGATATTCACAGACTAGGAGTCAGGACCAAGTAGAGAAGCTGAAGATAGCCCTGGCCCAGAACTAAAGGAGTCCTTATGTTCCTGTGGGAGTCCAACTTGGGGAAACCCTGCCACGCCTAGAGAAAGGGCTGCTGGTGAAAGGTGGGGGGTCAGGGAAGGCAGCTGGCCTGACTGCGAAAGCTACCTTGCGATTGTGAAGTGGGAAGGAACACGCCCTCTCGCTCAACCCCGATCTGCCAGGCTTCCTGCCACAGGGAGATGGTTTGAGCTTAGAACGTTACTATCCTCAGGTCCCAAATAGTCCCCACTGCCGGAAGCCAGTCCATCCTCGCTGCTAGACACAGTCGCTGCAGGAAAGAAACATCTGCACAGCATATGTTTCAAGGGACCTGGTATATATGGGATACTGTTCTTAATATGTTTGCTAAACTTCTTGGTGCTATGTGTTTTAACCAAGGTCACCTCTCCGAGAAAGGTTGTTTCCCCAAGTAGGGATTTTCCCCTGAAGTTAGGGAGGGAATAAAGCCCCTTAACTAAGTGCCAGGTGGGTAGTTAATCACTTTAACTACAAACAATCACGCTTAAGCTACATAATCTTTACTCCCTGGAATGGAGATAAGAAACGCCCTAACCTTTGGAATAGAGATTGATAGGATTGGAATCAACTGGTATAAATACAGATGTAACAAGACAACAGGACACACAACCTAGAGACAGAACCTAGCGAGAGAACATGGCAAAAGATCCTGGACAGAACCTCGTTACAGAACCTGGCTACAGAACCTGGCTGGAGAACCTACAGAACCTGGCAATAGAACCAGGCAAGAGAACCCAACCATGCCGATCAACTGAACGCTGCCTCTGTGCCATTCCTTCTTCGCCGACTCCGTCCACACCTTTGGGGACCCCTGGACCTGCTGGGGTTGGATCCCAGCACCCCACTTCCATGTGGACTCGACTCAACACCCACTAGTCCAGTCAGGAGCAGTCACACAGTTGAAAGCTCTTTCCCAGAGGGGCAGTTTGGCTGTGAGGGATGGGACAGGAGCTGCAGGACCCGGGGATGGCTCAAGGTGGGGTTCCTTGGCTGTAGCAACAGGAAAGGAATGAGAGGAGGGCAGCAGGCAGAGGTAGAGTGAGGGGCCTGGGAGAGAAAGGGGTTCTGGGTACGTGAAAGACGACAGACAAACAGGGTTTGAGGCCATCTCAAGTGTGTGTGTGGCTGGGCGGAGTCTGGAGGTTAAGTGTGAGGAGGCTGGGTTCTCCCTCCTTCCTCTTTGGAAGCTTTGGCTACACATATTTGGCAGTTGTTCCCTGATGTTATCACTTGGGCAGGCGCAAAAGGAAGCAGATGGAGGGGGTGTGTGCGGGTGCATTGGGAGGTAGAAAGGCCATAAGCATCCCTAGCCAGTTTGGCTCAGCAGATAGAGCATCAGCTTGCGGACAGAAGGGCCCCAGGCTCTATGCTGGTCAAGGGCACATGCCTAGGTTATGGGCTCGATCCTCAGTGTGGGGCGTGCGGGAGGCAGCCAATCAATGATTCTCTCTCATCATTGATGCTTCTATCTCTCTCTCCCTTCTCCCTTCCTCTCTGAAATAAATAAAAATATATTTTAAAAAAGTAAAAAGGTGATATTCTTTTTTTTTTAATATATTTTATTAATTTTTTACAGAGAGGAAGGGAGAGAGATAGAGAGTTAGAAACATCGATGAGAGAGAAACATCGATCAGCCGCCTCCTGCACACTCCCCGCTGGGGATGTGCCCGCAACCAAGGTACATGCCCTCCACTGGAATCGAACCCGGGACCCTTCAGTCCGCAGGTCGATGCTCTATCCACTGAGCCAAACCGGTTTTGGCAAGGTGATATTCTTATAAAGAAAAAAACAAAGAAGAAGAAAGGCTTAGAGCAGTGGTTCTCAACCTTCCTAATGCCGCGACCCTTTAATACAGCTCCTCATGTTGTGGTGACCTCCAATTTCATTGTTACAAATTGGACATAATTAAAGCATAGTGGTTAATCACAAAACAATATGTAATTATATATGTGTTTTCCAATGGTCTTAGGCGACCCCTGTGAAAGGGTCGTTCGACCCCCAAAGGGGTCGTGACCCACAGGTTGAGAACCGCTGCCTTAGAGGGATGTGATCTGGCCCTCCTCCAGCTGCACTCTCCCCTTCAGAACAGGGGTCCTTGTCCCCCTGTTTAGACTACGCTCCAGATACCCAGGATCCTGTTATTTCTTGTCTTAAGGCCCACACGTTTGCTTCAGAGCCTGAGTGGGCTGCTCCCCCAGACTCACTTTCCTGAGAATGGATTTGCCACTGAAAGGGTGGTCCAAGAATGGCTGTTGGGAAATATGAATGGAGCTTGGACTCACGGACTAGGATACCAAGCTCCTCAGGCTATGAGATGGAGAGCTGAACATAGGAGTGGGGGACATTGGGCTGTTTATTCTGGTCCCTCGTTGTAAACATTTGGGACAACCTGCTCACAGGACAGAGCCAGGATGAGGCTTGTGTATAGGGAGACTCAGACATTGGAGCCAGAAGTAGGTAGCATTTGTTTTTTGACTTTTCATTGAGGGGGAAAGAAGGGCCAATGCTTGAAGCCATGGACATAATTATCTACAATATGGTTCCCTAGGATAAGCAAGACAGCACATTGTTTTTAATAAACTTAAAAATTTTTTTGGCCCTAGCTGGTTTGGCTCAGTGGATAGAGCGTTAGCCTTCGAACCAAAGGGTCCCAGGTTCGATTTCGGTCGAGGGCATGTACCTCGGTTGCAGGCTCCTCCTTGGCGGGGGCCCTTGTCAATGTGTTTCTCTCTCATCAATATTTCTCTCTGTCTTTCCCTCTCTCTTCTACTCTCCCTAAAAATCAATGGAAAAATATCCTTGGGCAAGGATTAAAAAATATATGTATATTTTTATTGCCTAGCTGGCATGGCTCAGTGGTAGAGTATTGACCTATGAACCAGGAGGTTGAGGTTTGATTTCCAGTCGGGGCACATGCCTGGGTTGCAGGCTCAATACCCGGTGTTTGGTGTGCAGGAGGCAGCCGATCAATGATTCTCTCTCACCATTGATGTTTCTATCTCTCTCTCTCCCTTCATCTCTGAAATCTGAACCTCGACCTCCTGGTTCATAGATCGACACTCACTCAACCACTGAGAAACACTAGCTGTGCTAATAAACTTTTTAAAAAGAATACTTTTAGATATATAGGGGGAAAAATTGAAGATAGTAGAGGGTCTCCACACACCCCAAGCCCAATTTTCCCTTTTGTTAACACCTTACATTAGCATGGTACATTTGTTACAATTACAATGGAACCAGTACTGATACATTATTATTTACCAATGTCCATGCCTTATTCAGATTTCTTAGCTTTCTCTTAAATGTGCTTTTTCTGCTCCAGGGTCACACCCAGATTACCAAGTTACATTTAGTCATCATGTCTCCTAAGGCCCTCTTGGCTATGACAATTTCTCAGACTTTCCTTATTTCTGATAACCTTAACCTCAGTTTCCTCCTCACTTTCCCCCTACCTCTCCTGGTATTCAAGCAGTCTGCAAAGCCAGAAGATTCTGGGAGGACTGCCAGCTTTGGGGGTGAGGTGGTGATGTGTGTAACTGACAAGCCTCAATGTGGCCTCTGGAACCCAAGTGTGGAAATGGGAAGAACTCTGGTAGTAGACTCAGAGGTTTAGGAAATAATAATTTTTGTTTAAATATGCCAGGAAAGAAGAAACATATTGCTAAGAGAACGCCACCGCCTTGTTGTGCTTCCTAACTAGCGGGTAATGAAGGAGTGGCAGAATAGTTAAATAACGAGTCGAGTCGGCAGTGACGTCATTGGGCGAGGTCTGATTGCAGCGGCCTTTCGAGAGCCCTCCCCCCTCCCCTCCCCCTCCTTCATTCTCCCTCCCCTTTCTCCCCTCCCCCCTGGGATGGATGCCTTAGCTCCTACAAGTCCTTCTCTAAAGGAGAGAAGCGAGGCGGGCTATCTTCCACGCTAGCTCAGTCCGAGAAACTACAATTCCCAGAAGACCTCGCGGCGTGACCTGTCTCTCGCGGCATTGGCGCATGTATGTTGCCCCCAGCCAATAGAAAACTAGCTCTTTGCTGAGTGCCAAAATGGCGATGCCTAGGTCTTAGAACTAAGCTGTCGGGTAGGCTTAATTTGGGGCGGTGGTGGATGAAAAGGAAACAGGGAATTATAGTGTCAGGGTGTGGAAGATGGAGGAAATGGGGGTGTTGTCCAGATTTGGAGTGGCCGTGCCTGCTGAGGGACGGAGCCAGAGCTGAGGGAGTAATTAGGCAACCAGAACCGGCTTAACCCTTCGCTGTCCTCGTTACTCTTTGTATTAAGCCCCTTTGACACCCTCGTTAGTTTAAGAAAGGGTGGTCCAGGAGGGAAGAGCCAGGCAGGATCCTTACCACCCTCTCCCCCTCTTTTCCCTTTTGGTTCTGCCTCCCTCAAATCTCCCTGTAGCGTCTCCATTTCATTGACGTCTGCCCTCCCCCGTTCTTTCCCCAGCATCTCCTCTCCCCTTCTAGCTCGGTCTCTCCCGCCTCCCCGCTGCCCGCCACCGGCCCCCGCTTCCTGAGCGCGCAATCATGAAGGTGGTGAACCTGAAGCAAGCCATTTTGCAAGCCTGGAAGGAGCGGTGGAGTGACTACCAGTGGGCAATCAACATGAAGAAATTCTTCCCCAAGGGAGCCACGTGGGACATCCTCAACCTAGCAGGTCTCCAGTGAAACAGGAAGGAAGGATGGGAGGGCTACACCCGGGCAAGTTGTGGCCACAGGGTCTTACTTTGTGATTCCCCTTGCAGAAGCACTGCTGGAGCAGGCCATGATCGGACCTTCCCCCAATCCTCTCATCCTGTCCTACCTGAAGTATGCCATTAGCTCTCAGGTAAACGGCCCCACCGGTTCCAGAGGGTGAGGGTGTGAAGATATGAAAGACGTAGAGTACTGTTGTCGGCTCATATCCTGTCCAGGTGAATTGGTTGGAATATACCAGAATCACTTCTGTGAGCCGCAGTTTTCTCATGGAAAGAATCATACTTCATTAACTTACTCTACAGTAAATATTCACGAATGTTTGTATGTGCCAGACAGTGCTGTAGGCCCTGGGGATATGGCTGTGAACAAGGTCTGATCCCAGCACCCAAAGAATTTAGTGGGTAATCTATAATAATAAATGCGTAATATGCTAATTAGACCGGACAGCCAAAGGACGTTCTGGACGTCCTTCCAGTCAAAGCTGTGGCAGCAGGGCCGAGGCAGAGGCGGTTAGGGGCGATCAGGCAGGCAGGTGAGTGGTTAGGTGCAATCTGGAAGGCAGGCTAGTGGTTAGGGGTGATCAGGCAGGCAGGTAGGTGAGTGGTTAGGAGCCAGCAGTCCTGGATTTCAAGAGAAATGTTGGACATTGGGCCTAAACTGGCAGTTGGACATCCCCCGAGGGGTCCCGGATTACAAGAGGGTGCAGGGACTCCCCTGTGCAGAATTTCGTGCACTGGGCCTCTAGTGCAGATATAATCTGTCAGTCACAGGATAGGCTTATGATGTGGCTGGCACAGGGTACTCTGGGAGTCCATGGAAGGGGCACCCAATCCGTTCTGAGCAATCAGAGGGATGCGATGTTCAAACCAAGACATGAATGTTGAGTTAGCCAGGCAGACTGATAAGACTGCACATAGTGTTTGACAGTATTTCCACACATACTTGCCAGTGCTGGATAGAATCTTGCAGATTTATTTCCAGAGAAGCAAAAAATAACATCATGTTATATTATGTATTTCTATGATTGTGATGTTGAGCATATTTTTATATGCATATCTTCTGTGAATTACTTATGTGTACCATTTGCCCATTTTTCTATTGTTAGATTGTTTTCTTTATTTTTTTTTGGTAACAGCTTTATTGAGCTATAGATTACGTACTATATAAATAGTTTACTGATTTAAGGTATATAGCTCACTAGTTTTTAGAATACTCAGAGTTGTACAACTATCACCACAATCAGGTTGGAACATTTTCATCATTCCAAGAAGAATTCCTACTGATTGTTAAGTGTCTTTTAAAATAATCTATCTTGCCTTAGCTGGTTTGAATCAGTGAATAAGAGTGTCGGCCTGTGGACTGAAAGGTCCCAGGTTCGATTCCGGTCAAGGGCATATGCCCTGGTTTGGGCTTGATCCCCAATAGGGGCGTGCAGGAGGCAGCCAGTCGGTGATTCTCTATCATCATTGATGTTTCTATCTCTCTCTCCCTCTCCCTTCCTCTCTGAAATCAATAAAAAAATATTTTTAAAAATCTATCTTGTAATCTTTATCTGTTATATATGTCTTCAATTTTCTTTCTATCACCTTTAAGTTTGTGATTTTTATTTTCTTGGCATGCAGAAGTTTTTCTTTAAATATTTTTATTGATTTCAGAGAGGAAGGCAGAGGGAGAGAGAGATAGAAACATCAGTGATGAGAGAGAATCATTGATCGGCTACCTACTGCACACCCCCCACCGGGGATCAAGCCTGCAACCCGGGCATGTGCCCCTGACCTGAATCAAACCCAGGACCCCTCAGTCCGCAGGCCAGTGCTCTATCCACTGAGCCAAACCAGCCAGGGTGGCATGCAAAAGTTTTTAATGCATCTGTTGCCAGATTTAGCCTTTTTCCTATGTGGCTTTTGTCTTGCATAAGGGGTTGCCTGCTCCAAGGATCAAAATATATTTTTCTCTAATTTTTGCCAACACTTCACTTTTATTTTTTATGTTTCTTTTCTCTGTCACAGTTAAAATTTATTGGTGTGAAACAGCCAAGTTTATATATTTTTTCAGACAGATGGACAGTTGGCTCAACTACCTTTATTGAATAGACCATTATTTGTCCTAGCCTAAATTTTCTTATAGACAGGATTCCATTTCTTGACATTCTAGTTTATTTTATTGATATATTGGTCTTTTCTTGCACCAGTACTTTATTGTTTTAATTACTGTACCTTTATAATATGTTTGATACCTGGCTAGGCAAGTCTTCCCATAATTTTACCTCTCAAAAATTTCTTGACCCAGGCATTTTCATTTCCAGACAGATTTTAGAATCCACTTAAGTTCTTTTTAAAACCCTATTATATTTTGATTGGGAGTTCCTTGACTTTGTGGATTTGGGGAATTTGTGGATTAACTTTAGAAAAATCACTCTGATTGTAGTTTGAAGAATGGGTTGAAAGAGAGTAAAACAGAAGTCAAGAACACGATTTAGTCTGGAATATTTTTGCTGTAAAGAACCAGAGAGTAAATACTTTCTGTTTTGCAGGCCATATAGTTTCTGTCACCACTGTTTTGTCATTATAGCTTGAAAGCAGATCTAGATAATATGTAAATAAGTGGGCATGCCTGTGTTCTGATAAAACTTTATTTACAAAAAAGGTGGATAAGCCAGATTTAGGTTGTAAGCCTTAGTTTTCCAACCCCTGATTTAAGCTATTGTAGTAATTCAGGAAAGAGATGATATTAGCATAAACTTGGGAAGTGCCAACCCTGGCTGTTAGAGCATTAGCCTGCAAACCAAAGGGTCTTGGTTCGATTCCTGGTCATGGGCACCTGGGTTGCAGGTTCAATCCCAGGCCCCAGTCGGAGTGAATGTAGGAGGCAACCAATCGATATGTCTCTCCCATATCAATGTTTTTTTTTCTCTCTCTTGTCTCCTTCTCCACCCCCCCCCCCTCTAAAAATCAATGAAAAAAATCCTTGGGTGAAGATTAACAAAAAAATTAAATAAATAAAAATAAAAAACTTGGGGAATGGCAGCAGCAAAAAAAAAAAGATGAATTCAAGTGCAGTGTAGCTCAGTTGGCTAGGCATCGTCCCGTGCAATGAGAGGTTGCCAGTTTGATTCCTGGTTGGGGCACATGCCTGGGTTTCAGACTTAATCCCCCATAGGGGGTGTGCATCCATGTTTCACACTCCCACTGATGTTTCTCTCTCTCCCTCTCCCTCTAAAAATCAATAAAAACATATTTAAAAAAAGATGAATTCAAGAAGAAGTTAGGAAATGGCATTGAGAACGGATTTGGTGATTAACTGGAGAAGTGTGAAAGAGAGGAAAAAATCCAAGGTAGTGTCTAGGTTTCTGGTTTGGAGGACTGGCTGAACGATGGGATCGTAGGAAGACAGTGGGAGTAGAGTAGGACTGTTAGGTTTGGGGTGCAGATGAGGGGTGGAGACGGCATGTTTGATTTTGGCCTTGTTCCATTTAAGGTGCCTCTGTGGGCTATCGAAGAGAAGATGCTGAGTAGGCAGCTGAACATACGTGTCTGGAACTCAGAAGGAGAGGCCTAGGCTAGAGCTGTTGATTTAGGAGGCATCCTCTGCAGATGGCCATTGAAACTATGGGCATGGGTGAGATTGCCCGGAGAGTGTGGAGAGCGAGAAGGAAGGGGGTGACCAAGCCACATTCCCGACGAACCAATCACATTGAAGGAACACACGCAGGAAAGGAATTCCTTATAGGAGTCCGGGAAGAAGGGGTCAGCGAGGCGAGAAGAAAAGAAAAGCGAGAGAGTGTGGCCTCAAGGAAAGTCGCAGGAGGAAGGAGAGGACCGAAGAATGAGGAGGTGTTTGCTGCTGTCAGACGCTGCTGGGAGGTCATTGAGATCAGAACTGAGAACTGTCCATGGGGTGTAGCAACAAGGGCTTGTTGATGAGCTTAATGAGAGGATTCATGCCGTGGCAAGGACAGAAGCGATTGGAATGGGGCGAATGGCCAGCGGGAGGTGGGGAGGCAGACGGTGAGTAGAGAGAACTCCTGTGCCGGTGAAGAGCGGAAGAGCGGGTGGTGGTTAATTGGAAGTGGGAGGTCTGTGGGAAGCTCCTTTAAAAATAGAAGAATCTTTTTTTTTTTTTTTTAATATATTTTATTGATTTTTTACAGAGAGGAAGGGAGAGAGATAGAGAGTTAGAAACATCGATGAGAGAGAATCATCGATCAGCTGCCTCCCGCACATCTCCCACTGGGGATGTGCCCGCAACCCAGGTACATGCCCTTGACCGGAATCGAACCTGGGACCTCTCAGTCCGCAGGCCGACGCTCTATCCACTGAGCCAAACCGGTTTCGGCTAAAAATAGAAGAATCTTGAGATGTGTAAACACTGATGGGAAAAGCAAGAGGGATAAAGAGGCTGAAGTGACAGAGAAATAAATATACATGGAAGACCTTCATGACTTCCAAAGTGCTGTGCAAAATTAGTCATTTATTTTTCCTTCAGAGTTAAGAGGCTCTTTGGTCCAGTGCTGTGCTCACAGAGGTACTGAGGAGCAGTTGGGGTGTTGACCATGAAGAGCAGAGGAGACTAGAGAGCAGCTGCGGGTCAGTCTGGGCTGGCGAGGTGTGCAGTGGCCTCATAGACGTCTCCATCCCTGGGCTGCTGGTAGTGTAGCGCTCCTACGTTGATGGATATATGAAGACTGGAATAGGTTAAATCCTGCTGTTAAAACAGTTCACCATGTGGAAAGTATTTTTAGGTCTCCAGAGTAGAAGTGCCTTATTGATACTGTTGGCAAAAATTTACTGAACAGAATCCTGAATTTGGAGATCATATAAACATACAACCAATGACATCCTTCAGAACATACAGAATTGGGGGTGTCTCTTCTGGTAGTTTGGGGTCTGTTTCTAGTGGGGACATCCAGCTCCCCCTTCAGGTTGGTATCCAACAAGGTTCCGTTCTCTGCCAAGCTCTTGCTATGGGGACATCAGTTATAAATAAACAAACACTCGCCTGGAACGTTACGGTCATCCTGCCCAGGCAGGCACCCAACTCTCTGATCACTGTCAGACACCAGCCCTGGCTTCACGGGCGTCCTGCTGAGAGTGGCACTAAACACTAATTGTGTATTTAAGTCTTCTGTGTGCTTTGCACCTGTTTAATCCAAGAATATTTGTTAAAGATGTCTGAACAGAGAGCAGTCTGTTCACTTGATGGGAAAGTAAGACATGAAAGGCATCACCCTATTAAGGTCATCGAGGCTGACTTAGCTTTCTTCTTAAGTCTTTGGAAAGTCCTATTTTTCTAGTGAAGAAAACCCACAAGGCAGGTGACTAATTATCTTGACCGTTTCTGTCATTGTATTTTGCTTTTTTATTTGGTGTGTTGTGCCACTAATTTTGAGTATACGACTGTGACTGTTTTCTGTAGCGTTACTCATTTTATCAGCATGCTATATTATTATTTTTTTAGAATATGACAACTTAAAAGATTTTTTTGTGGGGTTTAATTTCACTCAGGACAAATTATTTCTTTTGAATTATATCTCTGACCTTATGGTGATAAGTAGGTTTTACTAATAGAAATTTGTTTTAAGGTAAATTTCCCCCCCAGAAGGTTAGTTACATGACATCTTAGATATCATAATGAAAGACACATCAATTATGAAAGAGAATTCATCGGTCGAAAACAATAGAAACTTACGGAGGACCTACTGCCTGCTGGGCCCCAGGTTGGGTTCTAGAGAAACAATAATACCTTTTAAAATTCTGTTTAACTTTAAAAAGCCATGTGTGGCTAATGGCATCGCTATTGTCCAGTGCAGCTTTAGAAGCTACTTTGGGAAATGCTGACCTAAGGGTGTGTTTTTACTTATTCATTCTATAAACATTGTCACCAAGTTCATGGGTCACCGAGTAAAAGCGTCCTTATCCTCACGGAGCTTCTCGTTCGGTGGGGGCAGCAGGCACCAGCTGTGCCGTGATGGGCACAGGGGGTTAGTTGGAGCACAGAGGGTATTTCAGCTTTGGGTGGGAGGTTGGGGTCGATCAGAGAAGGTGCCCTGGTAGAGTCCTCGAGAATAACTCCTAGAAAAGTGAGTAAGAGGTGAATAGTGGAATTCACTACCGATGTCAAGGTGCAGTTACTACCTAGTCACTGCAAGAAATGTGTGCTTGTCTCCAGTTCTTTTTTATTTTATTGATTTCTGAGAGGAAGGGAGGGAGGGAGAGAGAGAGGGAGAGAGAAACACATCAGTGATGAAAGAGATTCATTGATTGGCTGCCTCCTGCACGCCCCCCACTGGGAGTCAAGTTCACAACCCCAGCATGTGCACTGACCAGAAATCAAACCATGACCTCCTGGTTCATAGGTCAACACTCAACCACTGAGCCATGACAGCCGGGCTGTTCTTGTCCAAACAAAATCACTCTTGATAGCAGTTGTAGGAGTAAAGGAACATAACCATTCTTCTGCCCACCGGCAGTCAGTTAGACTCTCTATATAGTGGACAGTGAAACATGGCACCTTTGAATGCCCCAAATCATCTTCTGAATGGGTTCATGCTTATGATGTCATGTGCGGTGAGTCTGATAGAGGGAGGAATGGAGACAGTGCCAGTGTTCTGCCTTGTTTAGTGGGCTGAGGAAGGCCTCCTGAAAGGGTTGAGGTTTTAGGAGAGCTGCAGCAACTTGGAGTGTGAGCGCTTGTTCCGTTCAACTGTGGAACACTGGTTGTCTGAACTTTATCTTTCTTCTTTCCCTCCAGATGGTGTCCTACTCCTCTGTCCTTTCAGCTATCAGTAAGGTATGATCATAGCCACCCAGAGGCTGGGTGGGGGCCAGGGGAAAAGATACGGTCGTGACGGAGGGGGCCCCACCTCCTTGAATGCTCTGATCATGTGGCCACTGAGGCTGGACAGGTAGCCCACACTGTCTCTGGCTGGCATAGCTGCCTTTCTCTGGAAGGAAGAGCATCCTGGGAAGCGGGGGCTGGCAATTAGCCAATCTCCAGTGTTGAAAGGGTGCCCATTCTGAAACCTGAGGTGGGAGGAAAGATGAGTGTCTCATCTGCCTCGTGTGACACCAGGGGTTGACTGTAGCATCACCTCTGTTCTTTCCACAGTTTGATGACTTTTCCCGTGACCTGTGTGTCCAGGCGTTGCTGGATATCATGGACATGTTTTGTGACCGACTAAGGTACTAGCAGGGGTGAGGAGCTCACAACCTCCAGCATTAGCTTAGTGTAAAGGAGAAGCTCCAAGTAGAGAGACTCTGTGGCTCCCCACACTTCTTCCCCCTGCTCACCCACACCCACCCATCCCCATCCTTTTCCACTTAGTCCTTAGGACAAAAATGCCTCTTCTCGATTGGGAGTAGCTCATTTGAAACCTTGTCCAGTGGAAAGCAACAGGGCTGTCTTCCCTAGGACTTTGCTAGCTTCCCAACTCTCTTCCCTAGTAGGGAGTGCCAGGCCCTCTGGGAACATTGGTGTGGGTCAGGTTTCAGCCTTTGGAGCAGAGACAGATTTTGCATCCTTTCCCGTAGCTGTCATGGCAAAGCAGAGGAGTGCATCGGGCTGTGCCGGGCCCTTCTCAGCGCCCTCCACTGGCTGCTGCGCTGCACTGCAGCCTCTGCCGAGCGGCTCCAGGAGGGGCTGGAGGCTGGCACTCCAGCTGCCGGCGAGAAGCAGCTTGCCATGTGCCTGCAGCGCCTGGAGAAGACCCTCGGCAGCACCAAGAACCGGGCCCTGCTCCACATCGCCAAACTAGAGGAGGCCTGTATGTCCCCTCGTCCCCCTGAGCCCCACCTGCCACTGCTCCCACATCCGGTTCTTTAATTGAGAGGGGAGAGGCAGGATGGCATCCCACTTTTTTCCAGGAGGATCTGAAATCATCCCACTTCCTTTTTTTTCTCCCCATAAGCATTGCATACATCCCAGGGACTTGGGCAGGGTGGCACCCGAGCCAATCAACCAACAGGTATTTACTGAGCCTTATTGTATGCCCAGCACTCTGCCAGGTGCTGGGGGCGGGGAGGTGGGGGGCTGCTGAAGGAGCATGTGGCAGTATACATGCCAGTGGGGAGCAAGACTAGTGTGCAATATACATGGAAAAAATGAGAGGACAAGGCAAGCACGTGATCCGTCCTTGTGTTACTGATCATCTGAAAAACAGATGACCGTGTTTGAGCATTGCCTAACACATCCTTTAGACATGATGCCTGTCTGCTGCCAGGCCTACTGGGCCATACACCTCTCGACTCAAGTGCACACGTTAAACATTGGAACTCTCCAGAGCCTGCGATCAGACAGATCACCTAGTGGGAGGGAGGGTTCTGATATTCCGGACGTGGGGCCGAAGGCCGCAGTCTTGCTGTGGCTTGGGACCACTGAGGATCTGTATTTCTCCAACAATGAAAATGCTAGAATGGGTTACCTCCAGGTCTTCAAGGCCTGGTTGAAGAACTTGTAGGATTAGTATATTTATTACTTCCCAAAATATATTTTCTTGTCGCTGTAAAGTACGGAAAGGTGACCATGATGTAAAAATTGGCTATGTTGACAGTTTCTTACCTATCGAGCACTTGACAAATGTTTATTGGCTGCAAAATGAAGGAATATTTAACTGAATGGATCTCAGGTCTCACCTCCCCCATGCTACATATAGGTTAATGGGCTAGTTGGTGCCATTCGTCATCAATTGACCCTCTGGAATTGTAACTAGGATAAGTGACTTATAATTAAGTCTAAATCATGCAGTATAGACCATGAATTCAGGCATTTAGGAGAGATCAGTGGGTTGGACCAGTTGGGTGGGTTGTTAAAGCAGCTGAGGCTTGAACAGAGGCTTGAAGGATAGTGAGAGTTGGCGAGGTGATGAGTGGGAGGGGCATTTCCGAAGGGAGGACAGCTAGAGCCAAGGCCCAGACGGGGTGGAGGATACAGAAGGAGGTGTAGGAGTCCAGCTTGTCTGAGTTGGAGAGTGTTGGCTACTTGCAAGGCTGGCATACTCCTGAAGTGATCTGGGGCACCTCCCTGTTCCAGCCTCTGGACTCTCCTCCCCTCCCCCGCCCCGCCCCTGCCTCTCTGCCACTGCCTGTCTCTAAAGTCAGCTGCACGCATCCCTACCAGGCAGGCTTCTGGGGGCTTCACTCTTGGGGTGCAGCCTCCTTCTAGAAACAGCACATGCTGCCCCCAGGCCCCCAGCCTCCATGTCACCCTCAGGGGAAGCCTCCTTGCGTGGTTTTGTGGGCCCAGAGGGTGCCAAAGTTGAGGAGTTTGGGGTTACTCTCTCCCTCTCCTCTGTTTCCCATCATGTTCCTGTATTTCCTTTTCTCCACCAGCCTCCTGGACAGCTATTGAACATTCTCTCTTGAAGCTTGGGGAGATCTTGGCCAATCTCAGCAACCCCCAGCTCCGGAGCCAGGCTGAGCAGTGCGGCACACTCATTAGGAGGTACCCAGCTCCCAGGCCGATGTGGGGAAGGGAGAGGGGAAAGGCCCTGGGTGGGGGTGGGTTGTGTGGCACCTGGCCCCGACCCTTCTGCTCTCCCCTGCTCTCCAACGCTTCCCAGCTCACCATGTGCCACCCCCTGTGGATCTGTCCCCTCAGCATCCCCATGATGCTGGCCGTGCACTCCGAGCAGCCGAACAAAACTGGCTTCCCCACAGTCCACGCGCTGGTCCTGCTCGAGGGCACCATGAACCTGACAGGCGAGACCCAGCCTCTGGTGGAACAGCTGATGATGGTGAAGCGCATGCAGGTGGGTGGGCCAGAATTGCCTCTCTATCCCCAAGGCGGCGACCGTTTGTGTGCAAGAGGGAGGATTCGCGGGTCCTTCTGGGAGACATGGGGTTTCTCCTGTTCATGGGAAAGCGAATCCCAGTCTTGTATGGTTCTGCCACCTTACCTGACGGCCCTGGCTCTCGTGTTTCTGCGTTTCCCAGTTGTAACCCAGCCTGATGCCCGGGGCCTGCAGAGGTGAAGGGGGGAATGGGGCCCCTCTAAGGCCTTGTCTTGGGTCTTCCTGCAGCATATCCCCACCCCACTTTTTGTCCTGGAGATCTGGAAAGCTTGCCTCGTGGGCCTCATCGAGTCTCCCGAGGGCACAGAGGAGCTCAAGTGGACGGCTTTCACCTTCCTCAAGGTACCTGGGACCTGGAGCAGCAGGAGAGCCCGTCTAGGGATGGTCCTCGGGAAAAGCAACGACTCCCTAGGCCTTTGCCCCGTGTTTCTCCCGCTGGCGTCATGCCCAGCCTGCCAGGTCCCCCAGCACTAGTTCCCATCGATTCTTTCCTCTGAGAGTCCCAGGGCCATATTTAGCGCGCTGGCAGCTCCTGCTGTGTCAGCACACAGGTGTTCCTTAGCTCCGTCTTCAGCCAGACTCCTACAGGGCAGTCACGGGAGCCAGGGAAGCAGGCCGCGGTCCTTGAAGCGAGGACTCCACTTCTGCTTATGGCATTTCCTCATTGAGCCAGCAGACAGGGGGCCCCTGTGTCCTGTAGGCTGAGGGCACCGGGCACTTAGGTCCTGTCGCTTTCTGATTTGGCTTCTAGAATGCTTTCACTTTCAGGGCAGGGGTGTCCTGTCTCTCTGCCCAGAGCAGGGGCCGGAGCGAGTGCCTTCAGTTCTGGGTGAAAGAGAAAAACTTGTGCTTCCTGTTTCCCCCCTGCCTCATCCTCTAGATTCCACAGGTTTTGGTGAAGTTGAAGAAATACTCTCATGGGGACAAGGTGAGTAGAAGAAATGAGACGGAGGGGGCATAGGAGCAGGTAGATCCTTGTCTCTGCCCTGGAGAAGCAAGAGCAAGGGGAGGGTCGCTGAACTGGGCAGGAGTGTGTCCTTGTTCCTGTGAGAAGGCGAGTGTGTGTGTACCTGAGCATCTGTGTGCACCACACACAGGCGCCCAGTCTCCAGAGAGAAGGCAGCCAGGCTGCTCAAGAGGCAGGCAGGGTTGCCTGAGATGATCAGGACCCGGGTGGCCATGGAGGGTGATGCCCCAAACTCCCCCCCATAGTAGTCACTGGAAGCCAGTGGGTAGACACGGCCGACTTGTAGGCTTTTATATCCAGCGGTGTCCTTGTGAGCCTGCAACGCAGGCTGTGTGTGGGGAAGAAGACTGAGAAGCCAGATGGCATTTCTGGCTCTTTGTAGGACTTTACCGAAGATGTCAATTGTGCCTTTGAGTTCCTGCTGAAGCTCACACCTTTGCTGGACAAAGCTGACCAGCGCTGCAAGTACGAATTCCCCTGCACTCGACGGGGAAGTGTCCTGGGCTCTCCCACTGCTCTTCCTGCCAGATACGCCTCAAAGGACTGTCTTACTGTTCGCCCCCCTTGGCAGGAGCAGGAGGCAACAGCCTCCTAGTTGCCAAATGCCCGAGCCCCACTCCCCTCTCCCTTCCCTCTGGCACTCCGTACGTTCTTTATCCTGGGGGAGGGAGGACCCCGGGCTGGGACCCTTGCTGCTGCCCCTCAGGAATCCCTGCTCTGGGCCCAGGCCCCTCATCATCTTTCTCCCTCACAGCTGTGACTTTACAGACTTCCTCCTTCAGGAATGTAGGAAGCAGGGGCTTCTGTCTGAGGCCAGTGTGAACAACCTGATGACCAAGCGGTGAGTGCGAGCTCCCTCGGGCCGATCCAAGAACCCTTGGCCCTCCCTCCCTCCTGTCCAGTCTGGGCTACTGGGTGCCTTTCCCCTCCTGTCTAGAGTTTGGGTTGTGGGTGCCTGGGGCCAGGAGACACTGGTTTCTGCAGACTAGGGTTTTGCCCCATTAGGTCCTGTGCTTTGACTCTCGGCCTCCTTCGTGATCAAAGTCAAAATCCTTATTCTTCCTCCAATCTTAAATGAACTTTCAGAACAGGTGTAATGACCAATGACCAAAGGAAGCAATTGGATATTGGATACGCTTTCCTAGGTGTCACCATGGCACCAAAGGTTCTCCTGTGCTCCTGGGGCTGGATAGGGAGCACGTCAGGGACTTATCTCTGTTCCTCTTCTCTTCTCTGGGCCGAATGGTAATGGCCACAGGGCAGCAGACCGGGAGCACGCACCCCAGCAGAAATCAGGAGAGAACGCCAACATCCAGCCCAATCCTGGGCTGATCCTCCGAGCAGAGCCCACTGTTACCAACATCCTCAAGGTGAGTGCGCCCGTCCCTTGCCACCAGGGTCGTCTCTTCCCTCTTTCCAGTTTTCCCTCTACTTCCAGATGAATACACAGAGGCCATAGACCTTTCTCTTCTGGCTTCTATACATAGCTACTTGGGAAGTAGAGAAAGGGGGAACTTCCGCAAGGGAAGCTGCCTTTGAAAACTAACATTTATTGAGCATCACTTGTAAGCCAGGCACTGTGGTAGGTGCTTTCACGTAGCTCGTCTTGTGCAGAAACAATGGAGAATTTCACAGCAGGGACCTCACCTGCCCGGTCCTGCCACCCTTGTCTCAGTTGAGTTGCGAGGGATGGTTTTGGCGAGCAAGGATAAGATTGTAGAAACTGTTTTCCAGATTGGAATCAGAAAGACGTAGGTTAAGTTGCAGGTCCTGGTGTACCATTGAATGGAGACATGCAGAGAGAGAGACTGTGGCTAGGCTGTATCTGGGGGGGTCTTCAGTGTTCTTCAGGACTTGATTTCCTGTCGTGTCCCCAGACGATGGATGCAGACCACTCCAAGTCCCCGGAGGGGCTGCTGGGGGTCCTGGGCCACATGCTGTCTGGGAAGAGTCTGGACTTGTTGCTGGCTGCAGCTGCTGCCACTGGGAAGCTTAAGTCCTTCGCCCGGAAATTCATTAAGTAAGGAAGGCCGAGCTCTGGCCAGGGCCAGGGAGGCATATCTGAAGTAAGAAGTAGCAGGATGGGGCGGGGCCCTGGGGTCTGGGTCTCCCGGGATGCTCAGTCCAAGGCAGAGCATCCCAGCTGGAGACTCTGGGGGGAGGACCGTTTCTTTGGACATGGAGCCTCGTTGCCCTTCCGCTGAGGATGACGTGGAGGAGTTCCAGGAGGTGACAAGGTGGTGAACGGTGGCGCAGAGGGGTTCTGTGTGTGCCCAGGCGTTAACCAGGGATCCTCCAATTCTGTGGACTTATTTTTGTTAACCTGCAATTTGATCTGTAGAAATTGTTCTATTCAGTGAGCCATTCTCTGGGTCCTGGGAATCTTTAAAAATGAAGTTCTCTCTTCTGTAGCAGTGGTGTTCATTTTGTTTGACCTGTAATTGGGACTAGTGAGTGCTCTGGGGTGGGTGTGGCCCCCATCCCCAGCTGTCACTCCGCCCTTGCCCTGGTTGATGCAGCCTCTCTCCATTCCCTCCACAGTTTGAATGAGTTCACAACACACGGCAGCGAAGAAAGCAGTAAGTCAGCTCTGCGCATCCCAGGCCCGGTGGGCACTGAGAGACGGGTGTGGGGAGAGCTCAAGGGAAGAGTATGCCTTATGTGGGGGCTCTTCTCCCCTGAGTGATGACGCATGAAGCCTGTGGGAGGCTTGGGAGGGTGATGCTGGGAAAGGGTTCTTCTACAGCCACCCCTTTGTCCCCCCCTTAGGATCTGGTTGGGTATTGGGGGGAAAGAGGGTATTGGGGGGAAAGAGGGTATCGGGAGTCTGATTCCAAGGAAGGAATGATGTTCCAATTGAGACTCAAGAAAAGGATTCTGAGCCTCAGAGCTTTGAAGGAGACACTGGCTCTGACCTTCCTTGCGATGAATCCTGACCCAGACAAGGGCGTGGGGCCCTGCCCTGGGCTGCGGGTCAGCCTTCTCATCCTTCACAGCCAAGTCGGCCTCCGTCCGAGCCTTGCTCTTCGACATCTCCTTCCTCATGCTGTGCCACGTGGCCCAGACCTATGGTTCCGAGGTGAGTGTGAGGAGAGCAGGCAGGTTAGGGCACAAGAGGGAAGGAAACAGCCCATATCTCTCCCCCCTGTCACCCCTCCCCTCCCACCCTACCCCTGTCAGGTTCTTGGTGCAGAAATCAGGCATCCACCCAGAGAATTTAATGGAAGTTAGCAGAGGCCCTCCTGGTCGCATCCCAAATCCTTCAGTGCCGGATCCCCGACCACTAGGTGGCAGCATCGCCCTCCTCTTTCCCCGTAGCTGGTTTGCCCCCAGTTCTCCAGGCGACAAATGGGAGCAGGAAGCACCAGGGCAGGTGCCCCCACTCGGCTGGTGACTCGCCTCCTCTCCCAGGTGATCCTGTCTGAGTCGAGCACAGGGGCAGAGGTGCCCTTCTTTGAGACCTGGATCCAGACCTGCATGCCCGAGGAGGGCAAAATCTTGAATCCTGACCACCCCTGCTTCCGGCCGGACTCCACCAAAGTGGAGTCCCTAGTGGCCCTGCTCAACAACTCCTCCGAGATGAAGCTGGTGTCAGTGGCCTGGGCGCCCACTCCCAGGGGCGGTGTGGGGTGCCGGTCCCTCTCCCTCAGTCCACCCCTCGTTCCCCTGATGATTCTTCTCCCCCCGTCCTGCCCCACCTCGCAGGCAGATGAACTGGCATGAGGCCTGTCTCAGCATTTCAGCCGCCATCTTGGAAATCCTCAACGCCTGGGAGAACGGGGTGCTGGCCTTCGAGTCCATCCAGGTAGCCCCTCCCCTTTCCAGCAGCCTTCTCGCTTCCCTGGGACACAGAGCCAGTCCTTGATAGGTTGTTATATTCCATAAGAACAAGGAGGCCGACCCTTAAGCCAGGAGCTCCTGTTTGGATGTTGATCTTCCCTGTAATCATAGTCCTAGCCTCCCTCCCACCCAGGTGACTGGGAAAATCAAACTTGTGGTGAAAAGAGGTGTGGACTGTGGCCCAGGGCTCCGCCTGCTGCACTCAGCGGCCGCAGAGGCTGCGGAAGGTGATAGGCAGGGAAGGGGAGATGGTGGCCTGGTCACACTTTCCGTCTCTCAGAAAATCACAGATAATATCAAGGGGAAGGTCTGCAGTCTGGCAGTGTGTGCTGTGGCGTGGCTTGTGGCCCACGTGCGGATGCTGGGGCTGGATGAGCGGGAGAAGTCGCTGCAGATGATCCGCCAGCTGGCGGGGCCGTTGTACAGTGAGAACACCCTGCAGTTCTACAATGAGAGGTCAGTAACCCGCCCCTCCCTTCTGGAGTGCTTCGGTCTGTGGTGCGAAAACGGCACCTCCAGGAACCGATATCTGACCCCTCTTACCTTCCCAGACATGCTGCTCACTTGCTCACTCACTTCCTCGCTCGCTCACATTCCTATTCACGTATTCACTCACTGACTCAGCAGCAGTTTCCTGTCTTATCTGGCACCTGCTGTGCCCAGAAATATAGACCCCAGACACCTATGATTCCTGCCCTCAGGAGGTCGAGTTCTGGAGAGCTAGCTTGCCACAGGAACAACGCGATTGTCTTAGCTGCTGTCACTGTCCAGAAACTATGAGCCCATCTGTAGATTTCACAGGCCTTGGCCCTGCCCACTCCCCTCACCCCCCACCTGGCTGTCTTTGACGTTTTTCTGCCTTGGCTTCTCATGGGCTTCCAGAATCTCCCTGGTGACTTCAGCCATGTTGAGTTCAGTGGTGTTGGTTCACTCACCTGTCCAATAAGCTTTTTTTTGATTGTGGTAAAAAATATATATATATAATATGAAATCTACCATCTTGAACATTTTTGGTTGATTGATTTTGGAGAGAGAAAGGGAGAGAAAGAGAAGCATCAATTTGTTGTTCTACTAATTTATGCATTCACTGGTTGCTTTTTCTTTTTTATAATATAATTGATTTTTTACAGAGAGTAAGGGAGAGGGATAGAGAGTTAGAAACATCAATGAGAGAGAAACATCTATCAGCTGCCTCCTACACACTTCCCACTGGGGATGTGCCCCCAACCAAGGTACATGCCCTTGACTGGAATCGAACCTGGGACCCTTGAGTCCGCAGGCTGACACTCTATCCACTGAGCCAAACTGGTCAGGGCTGGTTGCTTCTTTATATGTGCCCTGACTAGGGATTGATCCTGCAACATTGGCGTTATCAGGATGGTTCTCTAACCACTGATCTACCCGGCCAGGGCCCATTTTAGCCATTTTTAAGTTAAGTTCAATAGTGTTAAGATGTATATATTTTTTTCATATATATGTCATTCATTTATTATATAACAGTGGGAAGAGAGATTATTTTTGTTTGTTAATCCTCATCTGAGAATATTTTTTCCATTGAACTTTAGAGAGAGTGGGAGGGAGGAAGTGGAGTGGGGGGAGAAGGGGGGAACATTGATATAAAAGAGACACATTGATTGGTTGCCTCCCGTATGCGCCTCAACCGGGGCTGGGGATCCAACTTGCAACCCCGGGACTAGCCCTTGACCGGGAATCGAACCCAAGACCCTTTGGTCTGAGGGCTGACACTCTAATCACTGAGTGAAACCAGCCAGAGCTGTATATTCACATTGTTGTGAATCAGATCTCCAGCATTTTCATCTTGTAAATCTGAAACTCGTGCTCATTAAGCAGCAACTCACACTCTCCCCACCCCAGCTTTTCGTAACCACCATTCCGCTTTCTATTCCTATGAATTTGAATACTTTTGATAACTCACGTAAGTGGAATCGTACAGTAGTTGGCATATTTCACTTAGCACATTGTCCCCAAGGCTCATCCACATTGTAGCACATGTTAGAATGTCCTCCTTTTTAAGGCTGAATAATATTCCATTATTTGTATATACACACCGTGTTTGCCTGTCCATTTATTAGTCGATGGCACTTGGGTGCTCATCACCTCTTGGCTGTTGCGAGTAGTGCTGCTGTCACATGAGCATGAACTGGTCGGTAGGCCGTGAGTGGTGATGCACAAGGTAGCCGTCAGGATGCTTCCAACGGAGAAGTGGGGCACTGAGCTGAAAGGAGGTTGGGGGGGCCTGTGAAATCACACCTGTTCTTCCCCTTGCCTCTTGCTTTTCTTCCCTCATCATCCTCCCTCCACAAGGAATGGAATGTTTGCTCTCATGTAATCCGCTCTAAGCCCCGACTGTCTGGGTGAGGAATAGTGGGAAATCTGTGGCTTCATCATGCAGGTCAAAGCAGTGGCTCTGAGAGCCACAGGGACTTTCCCAGAGCCACCGGCGTTCCAGGAACAGTTAGCGCTCAGGCCCAGTCTGTATTCAGAGTCGAAGACTCTTCCCGAGAAAATTCCTGGATATACACTCAAATTTGCCCAGCTACCAAGGGCGGGAAGAAGAGTCCCGTGGGGCAGCCCTTGGGCCCCTGTCCTGGAAGTTTACATTGGTAGGAGGCCCAGGCTGGGTCAGGACCCCCCTTAAGCACTCAGCCCAGAGGGAAGTGATTGTTCTTACTTATGCCAGAGGAATTGGCAGGCCAGGCTTGGGGGTGGGGGGAGTTAGAGAGAGAAAATACAAATACATTGCTAGATAACCTGGGAAAGGAAAGCATACCCGCCCCTGCCCCCCATAGGCTTTGTGCCCAGCCACGAGAGTCCTGCCAGGTCAGGTCTGCTAGGGGTTTCCAACTTCCTCTTGTCTCCTCCCTTAGCATAGAATGGGGCTAATTACCCAGGAATGTTTCCGTAACCCAACTCCTTGGAAATGTCTGACCTGGGAGTTTCCTCCCCTGCCCTCCCCACCCCAGCTCTTGAACCCGTGTTGCCCGAGCCTCAAGGCCTCAAGTTCTCTCCCCCTCCCCCAGGGTGGTGATCATGAGCTCGATCCTGGAGCACATGTGTGCTGACGTGCTGCAGCAGACGGCCACGCAGATCAAGTTCCCGTCCACGGGCATGGACACGATGCCCTACTGGAACCTGCTGCCCCCTAAGCGACCCATCAAGGAGGTGCTGACAGACATATTTGCCAAGGTGCTGGAGAAGGGGTGGGTGGACAGTCGCTCCATCCACATCTTTGACACCTTGCTGCACATGGGAGGCGTCTACTGGTTCTGCAACAACCTGATTAAGGTACTTGGGGTGGGTGGGGGGTGGGCCAGACACATGGGCCAGCTGGGGAGCAGGTGTCCTCAGACTCCAGGAGACATCTGAGTACATGCCCGACAGCACCCAACTTGGTCCCATCCTCTGACTTCCCAACACTTAGCCTGGTTAGCCGGGCCTCTCGGAGAGGAGAGGTGCCTTCCGTGCTGCGAGAAGCTTCCTTAGAATAGAGGCTGGTCCCCATCTGGGGAGCTGCAGGACAGAGGGAGGGATGGAGCAGCAGCTGGGGCTCCCTGCGTGCCCTCCCAGAGAGCCGGGCTGGAGTGGCAGGGATGTCAGAGCCCCACGTTCAGAGCCCTCAGCTCCTAAAACCCCCTCACCTGCCCACGTAGGAGCTGTTAAAGGAGACGCGGAAGGAGCACACGCTGCGGGCGGTGGAGCTGCTCTACTCCATCTTCTACCTGGACATGCAGCAGGTGACCCTGGTCCTGCTGGGCCACATCCTGCCTGGCCTGCTCACCGACTCCTCCAAGTGGCACAGCCTCATGGACCCCCCTGGCACCGCACTCGCCAAGTAGGCGTCTACAGAGCTTCAAGTTCCCATAGCCCTGAGTCAGGCAGCTTTACCTGGGGTCACCCAGGAAGTGGGCCTGTGGGGAGGCCCTGTCAGATGGGGTCTGATCACCATGGGCACAGAGCCCCCCTTGTGGTCCCTCTAATTTCACTTTTCCTGGAACCCTTTGCCAGGCTAGCCGTCTGGTGTGCCCTGAGTTCCTATTCCTCCCACAAGGGACAGGCGTCTTCCCACCAGAAGAAGAGACACCGTGAAGACATCGAGGTAAGGGATCCCTCCATCCACTTATTCACGGGTTTGTTCAGCAGACATTTCCTGAGCCTCTTCTGAAAGGAGGCGCCCTCCCAGGCCGAGGCAGCCAGGCATGCTCCCTGACTCAGGGAAGCCTGGCGGCCACACGTCCACAGTGATGACTGTGAGCAGGTCTCACTAGGATTGGAGGGGTGAGGAGAGGGCTGGGATGCAGAGGGAGGGGAGCCCCTCTGAGGTGCTGACCGAGGCCCGTGGGGACTCGGCTCTTCCCGTAACAGTGAGCTCCCACCCCCAGGACTACATCAGCCTCTTCCCCTTGGATGACATGCAGCCCTCGAAGCTGATGCGCCTCCTGAGCTCCAATGAGGAGGATGCCAACATCCTTTCCAGTCCCGGTGAGTGTGGACAGGGCTGGGCAGCGGCTCCTTTCCTGGGCACTCGGTCCTCTGGGTGGGCAGCGCTAGGCCCCAGTGCAGGCATCTTGCTGGCGGTCAGAGAAGGCGTGCAGGAGTTTGTCCCATTGTGTCTCCTACGGCTGCTGTTTCCCACCCCCAGAGAGACCGGGTTGCTGTGGAAGCTCTTCTGCCCGGTCCAGGCCCAGGGGCACACGGTTGTCTCTTCCCCACCCCTCACTTCCCACAAGCTACCAAGTGAGTCCACTGCCTGGGGCACAGTCTGTGCCGTTGACTCACCAGCTCTGACCTTCCTTCCCCTGAAACAGGCCCTGAGGCTGGAGCAGGCCTGGGCTGGGACTTGGGGCTGCTCCCCACTCTTCCTGCCGAAGAGCAGCCCTCCCCCACCCGGCTTCCCTCGCTGTCCCTACCCAGGGCTCCTTCTGTGGCACTTCCATTTTGCTGTTTCTAGAGATTTCTCTGAGGCTTTCTAGGGACCAGGGAACCACTCTGCACTTGAGCAGAAGGTAGATGCTCGGTCTGCCATCTACAAACCCTCTGACCTTTGACTACTTACTTAGCATCTCTGACCTCGGTTTCTTTGTCTGGAAAATGGAGATGTGAGGCTTAAGTTGCGGAGTCGGGGTACAGCCCGCAGAGGCGCCTGGCGCCTGGTGGCCAATGTTAGTTCTGGCCCCTCTCCTCTGGGGATCTCTGTATTTGGGGCCCCTCGGTGACTCTGGACCCAAGGACTCCTGGGCAGGGCCCTCCACGCCCGATGGGTGAGGGCTTCCCCAGGAGAGGGCCCTGGCCCTGAGCGCTCTCCATTGGCCCACAGCCGACCGGTCCATGAGCAGCTCCTTGTCAGCCTCCCAGCTCCACACAGTTAACATGAGAGACCCACTGAACCGAGTCCTGGGTGAGTCCTCCCACCCCCACTCCTGAAATGGGGGTTCAGGCCCGGCAGCTGGAAGAGGGCCTCTTGGTACCCCTACCTGCTCTGTCACATCTCCCTGCCCCCGCCCTCCTTCTCCCCGACTTGCTAGGTCTCCCGTCTCCCCCAGGCTCCCAGGTTGTGCCTCTTCTGACTCACCCCCAATTTTCCTTTTACACTCCTCTTCATGGCGTCCCCATCTTGGGGGACAGTCTTAGCACTGCTCCCCTTTCCCTTTTCGGTCCCACCTTCTCCCAGAGTCTCACCTCTTCCCAGGCCCTTCTCATGGGATTCTTCTCACACACCCCGCCCCCCGTCCTCACACAGCCAACCTGTTCCTGCTCATCTCCTCCATCCTGGGCTCGCGGACGGCGGGCCCACACACACAGTTCGTGCAGTGGTTCATGGAGGAGTGTGTGGACTGCCTGGAGCAGGGCAGCCGGGGCAGCATCCTGCAGTTCATGCCCTTTACCACCGTGAGTGCTTCCCGTCTGGGGGGGCGGCCCACCTTCCCGATCACACGGGGCAGCCAGGCTCAGCAGAGGTTGGGGTTCAGCGGCGGGTGAGCCCTCAGAGTCGGGAGGGGGCCTCCTTTCTCCTGAGACGCCGCACCCACCACAAGGGAGCCCCAGTGAGCAGCTGTCTGTCTGTCTGTGGCAGGTATCAGAACTGGTGAAGGTGTCAGCCATGTCCAGCCCCAAGGTGGTTCTGGCCATCACGGACCTCAGCCTGCCCCTGGGCCGCCAGGTGGCTGCCAAGGCCATTGCTGCCCTCTGAGGGGCTTCGAATGGCCGCAGGGAGGGTCTAGCCCAAGGCACCTCGAAAGGGAACAGTGCGGAAAGATGAGGCATCATTGCTCACATCCACATGATGTAAGCCCTTTGCCAGCTTCCAGATCCCTCCCCATCCCTGACTTCTGGCTGCTAAGATGGCCCCCATCTCTTTCATCATTTCCTCTCCCTGCTGCCAGCACCTGATGAGTGTGAGCAGCCCGGCTCCTTAGCTCAGGTCGGTCTCCGCGCACTGCACCCGCTCCTGTGCTCCCTGCCTCCTCCCAAGAGGCACTTCGGTGCGGAGTGTGCATATGTATGTATATGTGTATTTAAACATGTTTGCAACACATGAGGGACGTTCACGTCAGCTCACTTGTAAATAAAGATCCTGTGGATCCCTTTGTAAGTGCTGTCAGTGTCTCTGTCTGATCGTCGCCAGGAGAAGCTCATCCTGGGGGTGGGGGATAGGGGGTGGGCGTCGGGGGTCGGGTGAGCAGAGGAGGGCTGGCCTCGGGGCCCGTGTTTGTCCACTCATTCGGGGCAGGGAGGGCAGTGGGAGCAGCTTTCCTTCCTCAGACCCCCCCTGGGATGATAACGAGTCAACACTGGCTCACCACCGCCTACACCCACCCCCAGAAGTCAGACTTTCTCTGAAAAGGGTGAGGCTTTGGCTAGAGGCCCCACTGGCGTTGGGGTAGAGTGTCCTGTTCTGATGGCCAACCCAGACCAGCCCACCCAGAGTCTGACTAGCCCAGAGTCTGATCTGTCCCCCAGAAGAGCAGGGGGGAGCTGTGGGGCAGTGAGGGGCAGGAGCTCTGTTTCACACGACTCCAAGCCCAGTTCCTTCAGGACTGACCGAGAGGGAGGACCCTGAGCCACACAGCTGGGAGGTCTAGCTGGCTCAGCCAGACCCTGCTCTCCAAGGAGCCACATGCAGAAGGGAGTGAGAGCTGATGAGGACGGGGAAGCCTTGGGAGGGGAACTGGGGACTGGTTGGCCTGCTGGACTTTCCTGGGCCTGGTGAGGCACCTGGGGCCACGTGAGCACCTGAGCTGAGGGCACAGAACTGTGCCCCTGTGGGAAGCGGCCCCTCTCTAGCCGCAGCTCCGCCTCTCAGCCCAGGCGCTGAGACCAGCAGGAGAGCAGCGTGGGAGACCGCTCCCTGCCCATCAGAGGCAGCGGGAGGGAGAGAGTACAGAGCCCGGGCTTTGCGTTCCAACCCAAGTAGTCACCTTCACTCAGCCTCCTGATCGATACAAGGCACTTTCCTTTTAAAAAACAGACATTTTTATTGGTTTCAGAAAGGAAGGGAGGAGAGAGAGCCATAGATACATCAATGAAGAGAGAGAATCATTGATTGGTTGCCTCCTACATGCCCCTTCTGGGGATCGAGTCTGCAACGCGGGCATGTGCCCTGGCCAGGAATCAAACCTAGACCTCCTGGTTCATAGGTGGGTGCCCAACCGGATCCACACTGGCCAGGCCAAGGCACTTCTTTTCTTTTAATCCTCACCCAAGGATATTTTTTCATTGATTTTTTAAAACTTTTTTAAAAAGTGGTTTAATAGTTGTGTTACACATATGGCAGGCAAGATGAACATATTTTTTAAAATATATTTTTATTGATTTCAGAGAGGAAGGAAGAGGGAGAGAGAGAAATATCAATGATGAGAGAATCATTGATCAGCTGCCTCCTGCACGCCCCTCACTGGGAATTGAGCCTGCAACCCAGGCATGTGCCCTTGACCGGAATCAAACCTGGGACCCTTCAGTCTGCAGGCCAACAGTCTATATACTGAGCCACACCGGCTGGGGCAAGGCACTTCTTAATTCATGTTTGTAGGCACCTGTGCGTGCGGATGGGCTGGAGTTCATGGAAGATGGTAAACTGCCCAGCTCTGCAAATATTAAATGCATCTGGACTGTTAAGGTTCCCCCTGAACTCCACACTCCCCTCTCCTGGTAGCAGTGTCCCATCTGCCCTCTGTCTCCCCACCAGGCTGTGCTCCACGAGGGCAGGACCATGCCTGCCTGGCGCACTGCTGTGTCCCAAGCATGAGCCCTGTGCCTGCACAGAGTAGGTGCAAGATGCATACGTGCTACAGGAATGAACCCTGATGAGCCAGAGGACTGCCCCTCCTCCCCCACCCCTTCTCCCCTTCCCTCTGCCCTTGAACGCCATTCAACTCCCTTCCCCCCAGCCCCTGGCCAGGCACCAGCTGGACTCAAGAAGGAGGAAGGACATTTGCTAGAGACAAACACTTTATTAACACGAAGTTTGGCTACAATAAGAAAGTAGAGGCCGAGAGTGAACACTGAGCTTCCCTCTCACCCATCACATAATCCCCCTCCTCTTTTCCCGCCCACATTGCCAGCCCCACCCAGCAAGGCAGGTGCACGACCATCTGCACAGCCCTAAAAGGAGGCAGAGTACTGGCCCTGGTGGGGGTGGTGTCCCAAGCCTATGGGTGTATCTCTAGGGCATCCAGAAGAAACGAGAGACACCCCACGGGTGTCAAGACATGCCCCCAAAAATCTTAAGAAAAATTAGATTACCCAGCAAATTTGTGGGACCCCAGGGTCAAGCCTCCCAGCTCAGGCTGCCTCTGCTGGGCTTCATGCCCGCGGGGAGGAGACGTGAGGGGAAGCGAGGCCTGGCATTCGCACGCCACGCTGAAGCCAGAGCGAGGGAGGGATGCGAGGGCCCAGCGGCAAACACTGCTGTTTAAATATTAAACAGGGCTGTGTTGTCTCCCACGTGGGAGAGTTTCTAATGCTTCCAAGGGCCCCAAGTCGGGTGCCCTCGGCGTCGGGGGTTCAGTGCCCACCACAGTCATCGGAGTTAATACTTGGTATTTACCTATCGACCTCCCAGTCCAGGGGACAGGAAGACAGGAGCTTTCTCTCTGCCACAGACAGAATGACACTTGGAGGTGGAGGGAAGGGCCCAGGAATCGGAGACTCCTTTCCGCTCTTCCGCTCTTCCCGTCTTTAAATATTAGGTTTAAATAAATATTAAATAGAGATAAATACATGGGGTGGGTAGGGTTTTGCTCAGGGCTCGGCGAGGTGGCGCAGGACGCGGAGGGCCAGCTGCAGGAAGCTCTGCAGGTTGGAGGCCACCAGGACGCCCCCTGCCCTGCGCTGGAAGGCCGAGGTGAAGGTGAAGGTGGGCACGGTGCCCTGGGTGGCCTGCACGCCAGGGGCCATCCCCAGGTCTTCCATCTGTGGGGGAAAGGACAAGATCAGCCAACAGGCCCTGCTGAGTGGGCATGGTTGTCACAGATGACAAATGCAAAGGCCTGATGGGCGGTGGACAAGCACATGGCTGAGGTGGAGCCAGGGCCTGAACCCAGGCGTCTGGAGCTCCAGTGATCCCACTCCTGCCCTCAGCTAGCGGAGCGTGGGAAGGCCAGCAGCAGGAGAGTCCTGGGATGGGGCGGTAGCTCCCTACATACAGCCCGCCACCCCGCAGGTTGCCAGCACGACCTTTAGGGACCAGCTCGCTCTAGGTCCCTAACATTTGCCCCTCCCAACCGAGGCTCACCTGCTGCCAGATGTTGGTGGCAAAGTCGGTGATATCCAGCTGCAGCATGTCCAAGGTGGGGCCTAACTCAGGGGAGATTCCTGCCAGGGCCTGCAGGAGGCCCTGGTAGAGGAAGAGGCCACCGTGGAGCTGTCCCAGGCAGCCTGTCTGGGGAGACAGAGCTGGAGAGTTAGGGGGTGCCGCTGGGATGCTCCCCTCAGGGCCCCAGCCTGGAGCCTGGAGGTGGGGCGCCTTCCAGATCATCCTTCCCCTCCCGCCCTCTTCCCCTTCAGTCACTCACCAGCTGCAGGGCTTGGCTGGAGCAACTGCCCAGGGGAACCTGGGGGATGCCCAGAGAGTGCCTGAGCAGCACCAGCTCCTCGGGGTGGCACAGCTTGTGGGTGGCACACTGGGGACGAGAAGGATGCTGAGTGCAGGGGACTTCATAGAGCCAAGTTGTCCCCCTGCATCTCTCTGCGGTCTTCCCCTCCCTCCATGTCCTGCCAGGCTCCTCAGCCCCATTCTGCCCTCCACTTCCATCCTAGCACGGTCCCCAGAAGGTTCTCTCCCCAGTTTCTTCCCGCCTTTCAGGGCTCCCCCTCTCCTACCTTCCTTCCCTGTCCCCGTGCCTCCCCCATGCTTCCCTTCCCCTCCCTCAGCTCTCTCCTCGGTCCTCTTTCCCCTACATCCTCCGGGCAGGGCAGTGTGTGCGCCCTCCCTGCCTGGCCACCAGCCCCTCACTCACCAGCCTTTCCTGCATGGCCACGACATCAGCCTGGATCTTCCGAACTTGCTCTAAGCACTTAAGCAGGAAGGTCTCGGGCAGGGTGCGGGCAGGGCCCAGGGGAGTGGCTTCTCGCACTGTCCAAAGTGCGCTGTGCCAGAGGAGCAGCTGCAGGGCTGAGAGCGGGCGCATGGGGCTCAGGAGCCGTTCTCTCCACTCCCACCAGGGCCCCTTTCTGGGGGCTTAGGGACCACCAGACCCTGGGCCAGTCCAATCCCCCTCCCCTGCCCCAGGCAGGCAGCCCCCGCATCCTGGGCAGGACACTCACCTATCAGCTTCATGGGGCTCTGGGCAGCGGGCTCAGCAGAGTCTGGCTGGGTCTGCAGGCTCGGGCTCTGTCAGGGACCAGCTCTGGAGGGCCTTTATACAGAAGCCCATGGAGGCCCGGGAGGAAATTACCTGCGACTAAGGCTTAGTAATAACTTCCCAGGATTTATGCAAATTTAGTGTCCAGGACAACAAAGGGGGGGTTGAGACAAAAAGCCGTTTGCGAAAGTTTTGTGAAATTGTGGAATCCCTGATCCTTCTTTGACGTCGGTGCCCCCTCAAGCCCTCTTCCGCCCCTTAGCCCCACCCAGGCCTGAACTGCCCCAGAGTGTTTGAACAGAGCCCAGAACAAAGGCTGAGCCACCAATCAAAAGCCTTGGAGGCTGGAGTCAGTGGGGTCAGACTGCTCTGAGGCTGACCTCCAGGCAGCCCCACCCGCTCTCCTGGCAGACCTGCGGGGCAGCGCCCTTTGCCACTTTCCCTTGCGATAATCAAGCCACCTGCTCTCTGTCCCTAAATTCTGAGAGGGAAGAAGTTAGTCGCTCCCATTCCTACCCCCCAACTCCCACTAGGCTGCCTTCCTGAATCCTCCCCTGAGAGGCCAGGGGCCGGGGGTTAGGGACATTAGGGTCTTGCCTCCCGACCCTCCGCACAGCTTTATGGCCAGCATCCCAGGCTCCTGTCCTGCACTGGTTAGCTGGGAACTCCCCAATCCCCCCCATGACTCATTCCTTTAAGCCCCTGGAATCCTGGCAGAGACCAGAGGAAACCGGATGCCTGTCCTGAATGAAGCAAGACCCTTGGAGGCTCTTGGTTCACCTAACCCTGCCCCC